TTCTGTTTTGCAGGAAACAGATGTGACCTAAAATCGTGTTTTCGTTGATGGTAGTTCGAATAACGTTTTTTAAAAACGCTATTTGGAACTATAGGCATTTATTTGGTTCAAGTATTAATTTATAATAATAGTCATTACATAAATTCAATTTTGTTGAGAGATACAGGCCCCGTTTGGAAGATAGCGGATTGAAAATAAATTAGCGGATTGGACTTAATTGAGAGGTTTGACCCGTCAAATCCGCTATTAAGCTTGTTTGGTAAATAGCTTATTTTATAAGCTTTTTGGGCCCAAAACTCTAATTTAGAAAAAGCTCATTAGAGGAGCTTTTTGGAATAGAGGATTCACAATCTACTATTTTAATTTGGAACTTTTTAATTTGTAATATTTATTTTACAATTTACATTGGTTTATGGTGCTAATAAATAATAATATGTCATCCATATGATTAATTTATCTTGAAAAAAATATAAAATTTATAACTTCTTAATCAAGTGTTAGTAAATTTAAAAAAAATAATATATTTATAAATTACCAACTAAAGAATATTAAATGTTTTAATATATTATTATTAAAAGAATACACCCTAAATAATAAAAATGTCCTTATTGGTAATTTGCAATGTCAAACAGCTATAAGCTTTCAGCTATTTACCAAACACTTATTTAAAAACCGCTAATGCAATTCGCTGGTCAAATCAGCTAATATAATCGGCTATCCGCTATCCGCTAATACAATCCGCTATTCGCTATCCGTTATCCGCTGATCGCCAAACAAGGCCACACTCTTTTACCCTTTGAAAATGGCATTAAAATTTCTAATTTCTCTTACAATAAAACACAAATTCTTGTATTAGTAAAATAAATGACTACTTTGTTTATGTTTGTTTTTAAAAATATGAGATTTTCAATTTGAATGTATATTTATTAGTTGAAAAATTATGATAATTTATTAGTATAATTATCCAACCGTATTATTTCAAATTCTATGTGGTTTTAGTCAATGTGCATCTTTTGACAAGAACAATACACAACACACAAACGTATTTTATTACATTGACCTAAATTTATGTATCAATTCTATATTAGTGGAACTCGTTTGTATTGAAATATAAAATTAGTCTTCCTAATAATAATAACAGAGTAAATTAACCCTTATTATTCTTTTGTGAGATGCTAAGGCCTCGTTACGAAACCATTTCGTCGAGGTTGTAACCGTTAGATCATTATAATTATTATGGACAATTGATGTACCGATTATAAATTCCAACGAAATGGTTCTGTAACGAGACCTTATCATCTCCCTCATTATCCTACCATCACAAAACATCAAATTAAACACAAAACTACATCTTCACAGTTGAAAAACACCCCCACCATTTCACCAAATTAATCCAAATAATTTAATCACTAAATATTCAAAAAAAAAACAAAACAG